CTCAATGGGCGGAGCAACAATCAATACGTATCCTTCTCTTATCGCCTACTCGCCTACTCGCCTACTCGCCTACTCGCCTAATCGCCTAATCGCCTAATCGCACGTACGATCGCCAAGTATGAACACTCGCCAACTCTTTTCAAGACGTGGAATTCTCAGAGTCAATCCGAGCTGTTTCAGAGTGTGGTGGTCCAACTACTCGGTCCAGCCGTACAACGAAATTCGCTTCATCAACACGAAGAATTTGACGAGTCGGCTATCCCGGTGGAGAATTCTCAACATCTCCGTCTGCTCTATCAAATTCGTGAAGTTCTCCAACGACGTAATACCCTACATCAAAATGTTCATACGGCTCAAGTGGAGACATCATCTCGATCTGTACTATCATCACCGCCAGCACCACCACCATCCACTCTACTGCAGCCCGATTACCACTCTTCAACTAACGCTTGCCCAAGACATTGCGAAAATTGTGGTAGTAATCAACAGCTTTCATATCTCACACAATTAATGCAGAACATGCGTATCGGACAAAATCTGAACAATCTGGTTTCTCAACATGAAACCGAATCAGGACTCTTCAAAGCTTCGCCTACTACGGCCGCTACACAAATGCCTAGTCAAGAAGCACCAACAGTACGAACCTCGAAAATCACGGTAAGACCTCATTTATGAAGGTGCTTGATGCTGATCAGGTGCAGTGCTAGCTGGGTGGGCAGGCTGGTTTTCTGAATACGGTAAGGGCGAAACGTACGTGGGGACAAGCCGTCGGACACGCGGGTTGAGCACCGAAGTCAGGCGTGAATTTTATTGATATTCCTTGCCCGGGCCCGACATGCATGAACACCCTTTCTGTGACGAAAAATCTTTACAAGTTACGCAAACAATGAGGCTACCCAGCCTCCAGGGTGACCCGTCAAGAACGGAGAAGCGTTGGCAGCGCTTGCTAACCGCTTGCGAGGCGGGATTTTTAATGGAGCGTTCATAGTTGGCGATTAGGCGATTAGGCGATTAGTCTAAATGAAAAATATACGTATAGATTAGGCGAGTAGGCGAGTAGGCGATTAGGCGAGTAGGCGATTAGGCGAGTAGGCGATTAGGCGATTAGGCGATTTGCACACGGCGCACTCTTTAGTCGTCAAAATTGAGGCGCACATGCATATTAGCTTCTCACCCATACACTAGACTACTAGTTGGTAAAAGCAGATCTTGTCAAAGTGTTGCATACAATCCAGATATCACCTAATCGCCTACTCGCCTAATCGCCTACTCGCCTGATCGCCTACTCGCCTACTCGCCTACTCGCCTACTCGCCTAATCGCCTACTCGCCTAATCGCCTAATCGATCCGTATACTTTTCATTTTGAATCATCGCCTACTCGCCTAATCGCCTAATCGCACGTACGATCGCCAACTATGAACGCTCCATAACAAACGTGAACAGCGAGGTTCGTAGTGCGAACGCCTTGCGGCGTCAATGAGTTCGGCATGTGCGTGACTGCGGCAGGGACTCATGACTCATGCTGACTTCGTGTGCTCACCGTGTCCAAACGGCTCAAGTGCACATGGGGACTTTCAGGCCTTGCCTTATAGACGTTTAGGCGAGGCGCTATGGAAATCAATAGCAAATTTCCCTTGTTGCTTTTTTCCAACAATATTTTCTTGCTGGTCGTTCGGATGTATTTTACACAGCGGTCAGAGTTGGCGATCGTAGGCGACTAGGTGGCGATACAGAAAGAAGAGTTACGCATCGATTAGGCGGTTGAGCGATTAGGCGAGTAAGCGAGTAGGCAAGAAGGCGATTAGGCTCATGAGAAAGGATATGTACGATTTGTTTGCCCGCCTTTTGGGCGTCGCTTACGCTTCTCTCCCACATAGGTATTGATTGGTTTGCTCCGCCCATAGAACGTTGTAGGCGAGTAGGCGAGTGGGCGAGAGGTAGGCGATTAGGCGATCGCTCGAATGGGCGGAGCAACAATCAATACGTATCCTTCCCTTATCGCCTACTCGCCTACTCGCCTAATCGCCTAATCGACCTAATCGTCTAATCGCACATTACGATCGCCAACTATGAACTCTCCAGTAGCACGGAATTCGGGTCCAGGCGTGTCCAGAATCAATTTGACCAGTACACCACTACTTTCTCCCCTGAGTGAACCCTAATCCTTTTCAGGAAAAATTGGAAGGCAATGATATAACCATGTCTGTGAAAGTCTACATTCCGTCACCACCACCGTATGGTTTCCTCTCATCAGTGCTATCTTCGCGCTTCAGTTCACCTCCGCGAATGTGAACGCTTTTGAATGAGTATTGATTTGTCGCGCGAGTAATCGATTGCTATCCTAAAATGCATGCAGTGGAGGTGATCTGAAAAGTGAAGCAGCTTCAAGTTCAAGCTATATCATTTTGAGTGAAGCATTTCAGTGGAGTGAAATGCAGCTACATCGGTCGTCTTATTGGACCAAATGGAATAACCATAAGAGAACTGCAATTGGAAACCCGATGCCATATCGCCGTCCGTGGCAGAGGGAGCATCAAGGTAAGCTTGCCCACAGGAAAACATCTCGAAGCTCCTCAAGTTCATTCCCTTTAAGGACAGTAAGCTCTTCCGTAAGATGCGTCACAAACCCGGCTTTGGTCATCTGAGAGAGGACACCCACGTGCTTGTGGAGGCCAAGGGCACATCACGCGTCGAGTAAGTTCCAACGTTTTGTGAGCATCCTTGGGTAACCTATTGGGTAACCTTTTATGCTTTAGATGCCGAACATTGATCGAGAAGGCGAAAAAACGTATTGCTGATATGTTCACTCCGGAATTCGACTCACTGAAACGAGAACAACTCATTCATCTGGCGATGTTGAACGGAACCTACAGACAAAGTCTTCCTTCACCAAGATCATCTACCTGAATTGTTATGAAATACCCCCATTTCACCCCGTTTCTGGAGCAGATACCCAAGCAACATGCTTCAGATCAATCTGTACTGCTTTCCGTTTTCTTTTTCTATAAGTCGAGCCAGCAGTATCGATTGCACACTCCATTTTGGCCCCTTTATTCCACTCATTTTTTGCACCGTTCTTAGAAAATGTCCCCCTGCATCACCCCCACTCACATAGTTTGCCGATTTGGCATTGTAACTGGTTGCGATGAAGTTGTTTAAATCAGTTGTTCAATACGCGTTTGAAACTACACAAGCATTAGTAGGCCAGTAAACGTGATCAAACTTCATAGATCGTTTAAAGGCACGATGCGGGATTAGGCGGACTGGCCTGTTCCATCCCGGGGGTAGTAGGCAGGCGGACAAGCGTTGAGTCGGGCCCCTTTTGCAGCCTGAAAGTG